TATTTGAAATCACCATCCATTAGTCAGTAAGAGTTTTTTTGTTTTATCTCTACAAAAGCATTTTAGGGTTTGGGATAGAGTGGTGAAGGTTTTATTTATTTATTTTTTTTTTGTAATGAAACTTGGATTGAAGGGAATTCATGGTGGTTTGGTTGCTGTTTATAAATTTTAATTCTAATTTTTAATTGCATCTTGTTTTTAATGGTAATTATATATTATGGTAAAAATTGCAATTTACATTAAAACCATAAGTTTGTTGAGAGATAAAATAAATGAGTTCGAATAAAGTTTCTCTCCTTTCATCTTCATGGACATTTGGCTTGAACTTTCACCGGAATAATAATATATTTTGACCTAAACGCCAGATCAATGGGAGGATCAGGGTAGGTTACGGTGAAGGTTTGAAGGGATTAAAGTTGCTGCAATTTAAGAAGAAAAATAATACTAAAATAAACCAAAATTACACCTAAGTTGCATACCTCAAATACTGTATAAGACATACGAATTTGTGGAATATTTAAATGGTAAGAATAACGTTGCTTTTGAGGGATTCGGATTTGGACAGAAGATGAAAAGAAAAAAGAAGCAAAATCTTTTATTTATTTTTTATACATGCTTGTGCTTGATTGTACAACAATAAAATAAGATGTAAAGTGAGTAGTTCTTGATACCATAAAATGCGAGAAAGTGTAAAAACCTGTATTCGGATCTTTTAGTTCTCCAACTAAGTAATCTTGCAATCATACAAAAAGTTACAAACAACATCTTTGCTTGCAACCAACGAAGAGAACGAAAAGTTTCTTGCAAAAAACGTATGACGCTTAAGTTAGTGAGTATTTGCAGATTTTAGTTGCAGTAGAATTCCTTTTCAGGTAAGTTAATTGGCTATAAGGTGAGTTAATTGGCTATATATGCAAAGTATAACTCTATCATGGGCATGGTGTGTGATCATTAAAAAATAAGAAACATTACATCAAAAAATTTGTACATCTGACCATCTGAGCAAGTTGAATGAAATACAAATATTACAGCAAAAATACGCATGAAAAAACTCAAACCTTAACAAAGTCTAAATGAACAAAAGATAGAGATGAAAAGAAATTTTGACAAAAAAAATATAAAAAAATACGTATCAGAAATTTTGACCACAAAAAGAAAACTACATATTAGAAGTAAAAAGCGGCCAAGCAAAAACCTAAACTCAAAACAAAATTAAAAAAACTCAAACCCAAGAATAAAATCCGCACCATGCAACAGATTGGGAAAAAAAGCTGAAAATCCTTACAAATCGCACCCAAAAATGAAACCTACAATCAAAATACAAAATTGAAAAAACTCCAACCCTAATGAAGTTCAATAAAACAAAAGATTGAGATGAAAAGGAAAAGAAAACAGACGCAGATTAATCTTCGGGTATCACACAAAAGAAGAAAGACCCACTTTGGCCTGATGAGATTATAAAAACAAAAAAGAATAATGTCGACCAAATCCAAAACGATCTATAACATCAACTGTATGATGAACACATAAATATAAAATAACATCCCAGTTATATTCTCTGCTATTAATTTATGACAAGGAAGGGTTTGCATAAACATATAAAGTCGCGTTAAAGCATTTATAATGAAAGAAAAATAATGAAACATTTCAAGAGGAAAAAAAATATTACAAGAAGCAGATACATTAACAAGAAAGAACCTATCGAGAAATCAGAAGACGCATACCTGCAAATATGCATGGCTTCTAATCTTTGATATCCATCCTTTTGCGTAAGTCAATGTCACCGTATAGAGCAGCTGCATTCGAGGTTTTGTGGAGCTTCTTAATTTCTGAACTTAATCGAGCAAAGAAGCTCAAAAAAACCTCGAATGTTGCTGCTCTGGTGATTCCGTATGCTTGCGCTCGATCTGGTGGTGATTGTATACGATGGCTATGATATTTTGAGAGAGAGAGAGAGAGAAGAGAGAGAGAGAGAGAGAGAGAGAGAGATCGGCATGAGAATTCCTCATGCCCTGTCCCTTATTTATAATAAAAAGGGAAACATAAATACTTGCTCCCCAAATAACTCTAGATCCTTTTAGAATTCCTTTATTTTCGGAAGCGATTGATGGCCACGTTTTCCTTGTTAAAAAGGATTTGATATCTTCTTAATTAGATAGGGTTTTTGTTTACCCTAAATATATATATAATTAAATCACCAATAAACCAACTTCATAACATTTCACACACAAGATAGATACCAATGGACTTCTTTAAATTTGATTTTCGATTTGTGATTTTAATTACAACTTAAAAAAACGTGTGACATTTTCTACAAGAATCTCAATCCTTTTCAATTTCGGATTCAATCGTTTGTTCTATGAATTTTTTCATTTTAATTGTCTTGTAGGTTGTACTAGCGAATGCAGACTATGTGATTGATTCTATATGTTGTCAACTACGCCATTCGGAGATTAACCCTCATGTGCCAAATGTGCTAGCTGCCATGCTTTCCTATATTGGAGTAGCTTATAAGATATTTGTTAGAATTCATTTGTCCCACATCGGCCAGAAGGCTTGAGAACAAGCCCCTTAAATAGAATTACCTCACTCTAACTATCACCAAGGCCTTTTGTATTAAAACCCCACACATGACGAATTGAGCAGGTGGCCAAGTGGGGACAATATCGGTGTTGTTGGAGTTGGCCCATGGCCCATCCACCTGAAATTTAATACGGTATCCGAGCCAAAGGACAGGCTATTACATCCATGTGAACGGGTGGGTCCCCTTTGACCCCACGCGAACGAGTGAGCCCCGACTTGGCTCCACGTAGGTCAAGAGATGTCACGTGAATGAGTGGGTCCCTATTGGCCCCACATGAACGGGTGAGCCCCAACTCACTTTAACTATCACCGAGGCCTTTTGTATTAAAACCCCACACATGACGAATTGAGCAGATGGCAAGTCCCACACATGACAAATTAAGCAGGTGGCCAAGTGGGGACAATATCGGTGTTGTTGGAGTTGGCCCATGGCCCATCCACCTGAAAAATTCCACATGGTATCAGAGCCAGGAGACGGGCCCGTACTGCCACGTGAACAGGTGGGTCCTCTTTGACCCCGCGTGAATGAGTGAGCCTCGACTTGGCTCCACATAGGACAAGAGATGCCACACGAATGGGTGGGTCCCTATTGGCCCCGCGTGAACGGGTGAGCCCCGACTTGGCTCCACGTGGTTGCCGATGTGTGGAACTTCACGTGTGACCCAAAAAATAGGGTCTCACGTGGGGGGGAGTGTTAGAATTCCTCTGTCCCACATCAGCCAAAAGGCTTGAGAACAAGCCCTTTAAATAGAATTACCCCACTCTAACTAATACCGAAGCCTTTTGTGATAAAACCCCATACCTGAGGATTGTGTAGGTGGTTAAGTGGGGACAGTATCGGTGTTGTTGGAGTGAGCCCTCGGCCCGTCGACCTGAAAAATTCCACAATATTGACTCTATTTGAGGAGCCAGTACGCCTACGACAACTTGATTAATAGATCATTAAGGCAAATCTTGAAGATCATTAAGGCATGCTCAGTTCAGAAATACCTTTTTCTTGTAGATCCACTGATGAATGAAAATTTTCTTGTCCACTTTTTTGCTCTGTATATGAAGGACGGGATTATGTCATTGGCAAAAGTAGAAGAGGCTTATCGCCACGAGAGAGTTACTAAGGAAACAATTGAAGAAGCGATTCAGTCATATTCGTTATATCATCTCCAAGATGCATTGGATGCTGCTGATGAGAACAGGTTGCTTCCAGCAGTGAATAAAATCTGGCCTTTTCTGCTTGTTTGCATTCGAAATAAAAACCCAGTGGTGCGTGACCATTCTTTCCCCTTACCAATTTGCCTTAGACTTGCATAGCCGTATCGACATTTTCACTTGCTCTACTCCTTCTGTAATTTTGATGACTCTGTTGTTGGCGGCCTGATGTACTTTAAGCTCTTCATCAACAATTTGTTAACGCACGAGAGTGAACTGATTTTGTGGATCCTTTTATGCACTTTATGTTTCACGTCGGTTTGCAGGCTGTTAGAAGATGTTTATGTGTGGTGAGCAATGAGTGCAAATTTGTGGAGGAGATTTCTTTTCACGACGCTCCACACTGACGGCTCCCACTTCTGAAAACTTCTATCTACGTACTTCCCCATTCCATAGAAAGCCCATTGGCTTATATCCATGCTTTTGCGTATGTCAATGTCACATAGAGCAGCTGCACTCGAGGTTTTGTGGAGCTTCTTAATTTATGAACTTAATCAACCAAAGAAGCTTCAGAAAACCTCGAATGTTGCTGCTTTGGTGATTCTTCATGGTTGCTGCTCGATCCGGTGATTGTACGATGGCTAGGATATTTTGACTTAGCTTATAGGGTTTTATTGTTGTAGGCCGAAAGTTGAGAGAGAGAGAGAGAGAGAGAGAGAGAGAGAGAGAGACTGAGACAACGGGATCGGCATGACAAATCCTCATGCCTTGCCCATGCTAAAAGGAAAAGAGAAATACTTGCTTCCCAAGTAACTCTAGATCCTTTAGGATTCCTATATTTGAAAAATTCCTATATTATTTCTACATTTATATATTTATAACGGTGCATGGAAGCAATTGATGGCCACGTTTTCCTTGTTAAAAAAAGGATTTGATATCTCCCTAATTAGCTAGGGTTTTTTTTTTTTTTTTTTCAAGGGCTAGTGTTTTTGTTGAGCCTAAATATATAATTAAACGCGCCTGTGATAAAAAAAAAAATGCTTCTCACATGCACGTGAGCGCATATATAATTAAATCACCAATTAACCAACTTCATAATTGTAATATTTTCCACAAGGATAGATACCAATCGACTTCATTAAATTTGATTTTCGATTTGTGATTGTAATTACAAGTTAAAAATGAGTTCAGATATATATATTAGTTGTTATAAATGACTAAATGAGTACAAACAGAAGCACATGATACCAACCAACTTCACTTGCAACTGCTAGTCGATCACATTATCTTTGATTTTCAATCTGTAATTGTAATTACAATGAAATGAATGAATGAATGAATGAATGAATGAATGGTCTATCGAGTGCATCCGACAATCTAATTAGCAAGGGGATCGAAACGACTGAGTCAATGGTCTAAGTCTAATATGGCAGGCTAATTAAAACTGTACAACCAGAACCAGAAGGGGCAAAAATCAGTTCACTTCTCTTCAAAACAAGGCAGATTCCATGCCATCTTGCCTGGTTCTCCACAGCACATGCCGTTTAAGAAGTCTGCAGTGGCAAAGAGCAGTGTACCCTGACCTGACCTTCAGATCCGGTGAGCCCCCTTCGCTCTGACATCTTCATCATAGCCCTGGAAAAATCCATCCGGAAGGTTGAACCGTCATCGGATGCATAAGCTCTGACCAACCTTGCAGTCCTGTCATTCGCCATCAGTTGCTGATCAGCAAAGAGGAGTCCTCTGCCCTTCAACAAGCTCTGGTAATAATGAGTGTCAAAGCCTCTTCCAGATGATATAGATGAAGACAGCTGCTGGAAGTATGGCATCCCCCTTCGTCCTGACGACCTCTCCTTCAACACACCCCTTGATGGCGCCGGTGCAGGGGAATTCTGGCTGCTCCTGGTTCCATTGTCATCACAGAAAATTCTCATCTCGTTCTGGAAACCAGGAGAAACAGTTGGGTCTGGTTTGCCGGTCCCCTTAAAGTTGTTAAGCCGGGCCTGAATGAACTCACATCCAATCTTCCCAATGTTGTGCCCTCCTTTAGATGTGAAACAAAACAAATTAAAGATTAGATTTCTAATCTATTTGAACTCCACCAATAACTACTAAAGAACAGGTCGGGTTTTGTGAGTACGTACCTAGAAGACTTACAGTTTCTCGGTCACTAAATCCTCTTAGTGAGAACAGACGAAGTGTCTGGGTGATGTTATCATCCGGTTTAGGAATCTCAGCCATTGCTTCATCAGGGTAGGACCTGGTACTATCTCTTCTACCAGTGAAAACCGGATAAAAGGGGCCATCGGCCTATCATTTCAGATATGACAAACACATTAGCGTCGAAGAAGAAGACAGCTAAAAGTGCAGCAGTGGAATACAGAAACAAGCAAAGCAATCAAATCATTTTGGACGCCCTATGTAGATTTTTCACTTAAATACTGAGGATTTACCGGCAAAATGAAGGAAATTTTTTTAAACCTCATGCACAGTACTAGTATGTTGATTTTTTCTAACAACTGAAAGTACCAAAGATCGAATCAATAACTGAGGTTGTGATAGTTTTGGTTTCTGATATCTCTCTTGTAGTTTGGTGCTCTAACTAGTAACAGGAAGCAAAGAGAGAGAAACTGGGAAGTTTTGCCTTAGAGAGACGTATACTTGGTCAAGTACTGATCAAACAATGAAAATCGAAACAGCTAAAAGCACAAGCAAGTACTGAGACGAGCAATAAAATATTATATACAACAATTGAAAAGCACCAAAGATTAAATCTAAACAGAAAGAACAGGTCAAGACGACTGAGAAGATGAAGCAGTAAAACATACCAGGACAATGCCATCTCTGGTGGCAAGAGCAAGTATGTCAGCACAAGATACCACCCCTGGACAGACATTTTCGAGCACCTCCTTGATCTGGTCAATTTTATCGAATCCCTTCAAGGACTTATTTGGCACAGCCTGCTTCTCAATAGAATGGTTTTTATTCCCATTGCTGTCATCCAAGAGGACTGAAGCATCACAGCCCTGATTCAAAATCCCCCACAACATTAAGAGTCACACACCCATATATACATGGAGTTAGAAAATCCTCAGCATTCAGAACAAAAGTCACAGGAATGGTTTTGGAAGCATAATACAATAACAGGTTTATATTCACGGGCAGGGTTTTCCAAGCATAGTACGATAATAGGTTTATGTTCACCAAATTAGAAAGAGCCAAGCATGAAATAGCAGTTTTTAAGTTCACAATAGTCAAGCAGAAACCGATTCAAACCAGCATCAATCATGTGATTCGTATCAAGCACAAGAAGAGATGAATGGGGATATGATACATACCCCAATTAAGGCCATGGTTAGAACTAAAAGACTGGGAAAAGAAATCAAAAATCCATTAGAGAAAACAATGACATCCAATTGAAAACCCCTTTCAAGATTCAATTCATGCAAGAAGAATCCAACAACCAAATAAAAGAAACACACATAAATATCATGTAAAAAGAAGGATCCTGCACCTGAATGACTAGATTAAATACCGAAAACACATCAAAATCAGATAATAAAAAATATACTAGTCCAAATTGAGAATGCCCCAAAGTTTCAAGATTCACAAGTTACACTTCAAAACAAATCCTCCTTGAGATAAACCCACCCGGATGAAGATTAAAAAAAGAAATCCCACAGCACAGCAATCAAAACCCACAGGGAAGAGGAAATCTAGACTAAAAACCAGAAAACCCAGAACAATCGAAACAAGACCCAGTTGAGAAAAACCCATTTACACAGATGAAGAAAATCAGAGAACACAGAGCAAAATTGGAATTTGAAAGAAACCCCGTTTGAAAAAAAAGCCACAAAGATGAAGAAAAGTAGCATCAAGATTGAAAGCAGAGCAATCAGAGGAAAACCCATATGAGAAATAGCCAAAAACATGAAGAAAATAAGAATCTTGGGGTAGGGGATACCTTAATGAAGCAGTCGTGGAAGAAGAGGCGCAGCAGCTGCGCAGAAACATTCTTCTGCTGTGAGTAAATCTGCGCCATCGTATCCCTCACAATGGTCTCAGCTTCTGGGCATGTGTCCCGGTAAAAATCGTAATCGAGGTTTTTTTGGGCTTCACCATCTGTCATCTCCATGAAGAAATCTTTAGTAGAAGCCAGAGAAACCAGATTGACCGGTGGTTCTTGGGAGGAGGGCGAGGAAACAGAGAGAAAGGCTCTCTCCGATTCGCCTCTTGGATTGTTCAGGGACAGAAGCACAGAGAAGATCACCACCATCGCAAAGGCCAACCCTTTCATTGAACTCGCCATCATCTTTCCCTCTCTCTCTCTGTGGAAAAGTGAGTTTTGAGAGAAATAGAAGCGGGAAATGAATAACTGAATGAGCTTTCCGTTCGGGCTGACTGCTGAGACCTTTCATTAAAAGAAACTAATGGAAAATGTTTGAAAACTTTGAGTTTTAATGATAAGGATAAAATAAAGGTAAAGTGAATAGTATCAGGATTGACTTTTAGTGTAAAAATATAGTTTTTCGTTAAATTGAACAGTACCATGAGTTTTTCGTTAAAGTTTCCTTTATTAAAAGGAGTTTTACTGTGTACTTTTAACGAAAAACTAAATTTTTATTTTTAACTGTCACTATTTACTATACCTTTAAAAAAGGCTTTTCATTAAAATGGAAGTTTTTTTGGAATTTTCGTTAGTTTTTATTATGTTGTGATATCTATACACCCCTTATTAATTTCTATCATTTGATTTTCTTCAATTCATTCGATTCGACAGCCAGAAATTAAGAGGGTATGTGAATCCACACACCCCTTTTCTTTTTCATATTGTAAATTAAGGTTAGCTTTAGGGTTCGAATATCAATAGATGGTAAATGAACGAGCGCGGGACAAATCACATTTGGGTTTCATCTAAAAATATTGTTGCAAACTTGCTAACATGCACATACCAACATTGTTCTAAATCCCCGCCTAGCCCTTCCTAGGTTTTGCCTAAGTGCTAGGCGGCTGGTCATTGTCCCAATTACTCCTTAAGCGTTTGAAAATTAAGAAAGGGCACCTATACCTGCTTAAGTGTCCGACTAGCTCACCTAGGCACCCGCATATATCGCAACTATCACTTAGAAAGAAAATTGATACCTTTCATTTTACATTTTATTTTATTTTTCAATAAAATGTAAGAGACTTGTTGAATACTTGAAACACTCATTATATGCTTGTTCCCCATGTTATCGATATGTTTTAATACTTTATAATCTATATGTCATTGTATTTTTATGTATTCTGCCTAGTCCACCTATGGCCCCGCGTAGACCTCCTAGGGCCCCCGCCTACCTGCCTAGGCACTAGGCTCTAACCCTACGCCCAATTAGCGCTTAATGTCTTTTAGAACCTTGCATGCCAGAGTAATTTGTCTTTGTACCAATTTTAGCCATATTGGACAATAGATATTTGGGAATCTCAACCTTCATCAGGAAAGATAAGTCGAGAGTAATCCAACAAAAAAGAAAGAATGGAGTTTACGTGTACTTATAAGCAGTATTTTAAAAAGTTATGTATAGGGGCTGCCTGAAGGAGCCTATGCACTAGGCAATTGGCCACCGCACAACAGGCCTAGATGTAATACCTTGATTATTTTTTTAAGGAGAAATTAGGTTCCTATCCTTATTTTTTCTACTCCATTGATTAAAACCTTATTCATTTTCAAATTTTGATCAAGGTCCTTAGGTTTTAATAAACACCATTAATTATTCAAAAACAAAATATTTACATGTCAAGATAATTAAGTTTTATTTTTAAATATATTCATTTGGTGTTAGAAACTTTACATTTGATATATTATATTTATGGCTAAACTTTTTATCATATATTTCTATTTCTAGTTTGTACCCATTTTTAATTTGCAATCATTTTTGTTACACCCACCCTCACTTATAAATGTAATTATGTAATTTTCCCCAAAAATTAGTAGAATTATCAATTTGGACCCTATTACTTTACCCAATCAGGATCTGAAAATGGGATTCTTTCTGTCCTCAAGCCGCCACGTGGTAGCACCCCAGCTCACCTCACTCTCTCTTTCTAACCCCTACCCCGTGACCCATTCGTTCTTCTTTCTTCCTCTGCAATATCTCCCTTCTCTCTCGAAACTCTCATCTTTCTTTTCCTCTCTTACACAGTGACCACACACACACCCACAACTGCACATGCTCAAGGGAAGACACCATCACCATCATCAAAACCCCGCCCTTTTCTCTTTCTCCCGTCGCAACGAGGACAGTGAAAACCCAAGAACTTCAGCAAGGTTCTTTATCCTTAGAAATCAAGGTAAGCCTCAGATTTTTCCTCTCTTCGTGTTAGTGTGATGATTGGATGTGATTTTTGAGTATTATCTCTTTATTTCCAAGGTTTTAGAACGAGATCGGCTTGGGGGAAAGCTCACCCATCTCCGGCGAGCCCGTGGTTGTTGAGGAATTTTCCGAACACCTCCGATTGTTTCACGGGTATAAACTTACTCCTCTCACCTTCCTCTACATGTTGGTAGCTAGATCGAGGGCCTAAGGTGCATGTTTGCAATCGGTTGGAGCTAGGAAAGCTTCGACGTTCTTCTCTGTTTCGCACCAGGCCCTTCGGGCTGTTTATCAAACCCACGGGCCTTAAGCTCGTCTTGTTTCAGCCCAAAACCCTAACCCATTCCCTTTTTAATTTTATTTAAATTCCTAAAACCCAAAAGGCCTTAGGGCCGTGACACCCAAGCCCAAAACCCTTGGCTTTCAAGCCTTAGGGTCGGGAGGAACTCGGGCCTTAAGCCCGTTAAGCCCATTTTTCTATTTCTTTAATTTAATTGTTTTTAAAACCAAAAAAGGCCCTTGGGCCTTTTCTGTTCGGGGCTCTAAGCCCAAACCCTAAAGCCCTAAACCTGGTCCAACCCTAAGCCCAGACCCGTTTGACCCGGTCAACGTTGACCGTTGATCGTTGACTTTGACTTTCGGGTTGACTTTTCCGGTTTTCGTCCAGGACCTTTCTTAGGCTCATTTCGACATTCTGGACCCATTTCTGAAGTCCGTTTTCCCAAATTCAATTGTTTAAGTAGAGTTTGACTAAATGTACCCTTTGTGTGAATAGGTGCAATTAATAGCGGCGTTTCCGTTATTCCTTTTTGGTACGGCTTTGCACCAACAATGTACGGTGAGTGGACCCTTTCTAAAACTGCATGTTTTGATAGTAGAAATGCATACTTGAAAAGCATGATTTAATGATTATGTTCTATGAGACGTTGGGAGATAACATGCTTACTAAGGCTAGATTGAATTATTACTATTTTTCCAATAACCCATGTTTTATAGAATATTTGATGGATGATGATATGATATTTAGAACATGTTTTGAACACCTCATTATAGTATAGATGATAGATGACTTTATACTATGAAGTTGCTTTTCAATATATATATGTTCAATGGTTTTGTACTAGTGGTCCGTCCTGGGCGACGGTTTGGTGTTGGCATAGGGCCTGTAGTGTGTTTCCTCTGGCTATTTAGCACAGGGATGGGGGGCCGGCATGGGGCTTGAAGTGTATTTTTCTCTGATTATCTGCTTAGAGACGGGGAGCCGGCATGGGGCCTGGGGATTATTGGACATTCACTAGTGATTATTATATATACAAGTTATGCTTTGAGACATTGCACGACATGCTAAGTTTCGGAAAACCTATTTTTATCATGATATATGAGTTTTCATAAAACCTGAGGGTTAGTACGTTGATAATTGTTTTATTATATATATATATATATATATATCAACTTGGTCCACTTATGTTTGTTTTGCGCCCCCTTCAGAACCTATGAACGAGGATTATGATCTGAGCTATGAGGAATTTCCTTATCAATGATTTCGTGCTATATCTTCTCTGCTTCGGCACCTATTGTAATAGCACTTCTCTATCTTACATATCCGTTTGCATTCTGTATTAGACGTATGATCTAAACATGTTATGTGTTATCCTAATTTTAATAGTTAGCAGTTGAACTTTAATATTGTGTTATTAGTCTCTATTGCATGTTTTAGCATATTTCTCAGCATTTGCTTAAATTAAATGGCTTTCGTCACCCTTCGGGTGACGGCCAGCACGTGACCATCCTTATGTTCCAAGGATATTGGGATCAGGGCGTGTCAATTTTTTAAATTGTACCAATTTTCTTTTAAATTTTAATTTGTACCCATATATTAATTCTTTTTGTCCCTTATTTTTTAAACTTTTATTTGTACTCATATTTTTTTTAACCTTTTATTTGTACCCATAATTTATTTATAATGTACCCATTTTTTAAACAAATGTACCACTTTGTTATATGTAAAATGTATCCCTATTTTTTTGTAAGTATCATTTTTTTATGTAAAATGTACCCATTTTTTAAATGTAAAACCTATTTATTTTTTAATCTAAAATGTACCATTGTTTTTTTTTAAAATATAAAATGTACCCATTGTTTTCTATATAAAATGTACCCACGTTTTTATGTAAATGTACCAATATATATAGAATGTAACCATATAAAATAAAATCCCTTTTTTTTTATAATCTAGAATGCACCCATAAGAAATTATTATTTTTTAATCAAAACCCATAAGCAATTTTGAATAATTAAATTGGTAGTGTAAATGAAAGCAAAAAAAAAAAAAAAAAAAAAGGGGTTGAGTCTTTATTGGTATTATTGCATCTCTTTTATTATTATATCATTTATGTAGCAGAAGAGGGACTTCAATAAAAAATCTAAAATGTATAAGGTTTGAGTCTTTAACAGTCAGACAACAACTAAACTATCCTTTTTTTTTGTTTAAATATGAGATTTAGTTATAAGATTCGAATTAATTGACGATTACGAAATTTAATTGGGGGAAATGTGAAATCCCATTCATGGATTTTAGAATTAAATATTTTCTAGTTGACGACATATAGAAGAATCAATCACATAGTCTGCATTCGCTAGTACAACCTAAAAGACAATTAAATTGGAAAATTCACAGAACAAACGATTGAATCTGAAATTGAAACAAATTGAGATTCTTATGAAAAGTATCACGATTTTTTAACTTGACAATCACAAATCAAAAATAAAATTAAAAGAAGTCCATTGGTATATATCATGTGGAAAATTTTACGATTATGAAGTTTGTTAATCGGTGAATTTTTTTTTTGGTCAAAGAGTAAACTTTATTAAATTCTAATAGAAATGTTTACATCTTCAGCGACAATATTGAACAACCTCTGGACCAAAAGCATCACAACGGAAGGCACCTCCATGT